AAAAAAAAGAAAAAAAAAAACCAGAAAAAACCGGAGAACTCCCTGCGAGATGGAGTTTCTCAGCTGTCTGCTGTCGCCTTTGAGAAGCGAGTTGGAAATGTTGGAAATCGATCGGTTCGCGCGTATTTTTGAAGCTCAGAAATGTGTACCCGGAGCAAACCCCTCGTCTCACTGACACCTTTCAACCATGTCAATTTCGTATTCTCTTTGTCTTTCGTTACAAAGAAAAAGTGAGATTTGCACAACGTCACACGTTGTCGCAGCATCTCTTCTTAAGACCATTACCAAAAAGGGGTAACCAATAAACAAACATCTCTCGACTTCCAATTTACAAACGAACGAATATTTTTTACACTCGTCGCGACACATTTCTGCGCTCGTTGTTAGACTGCTAGATCTCTTTTTCCTTTCAGCTAGTAATTTTTTTCGATTGAACAGGAATGAAGGGTTCACCGAATGTAGGACCAACGACATATATTATATCATTCCGGTTGCCGCGGCGAAGCGAATCGCGGCCCCATTACGCATACATTCTTCTCTCCCTTGTTCTTTCGTTCGTCGAAACGCCACCTTGCATCGTGGGAGAACGCAGGACCTACACAGTTTCGCAACGTGATACACCATATAATTACGTGTAAAATTGTAAAATTCGTCTCGACGGGTTCGGGCGAAAGGATCATCGCACGTTTTCCTTCCCCCCCCCTCCGCGAGATGCGGCCTCCCTTCGGCCCTGCGATTCGTTTACACGAAGGAAAACGCAAATCATTTTTTCGCCCGGTCTCCCAGAAGCTCGATATATAGATTGTATTTTTGGCTTATTATTGTAAGACTGACTATGTTGCTATATTAAAGATTGCTTCGGAAATAATTACGAGTTCGTCATTTTTTAGATTGGCCCAACACTCGAATTTCATCCGTCAGTTATTTCACCTTGATCTCAAGTTGCAGTAAATGTGAAATGTACTACTGTTTATTCAAAGTGTATTGTTGCGTATAAATACGCACGCACGTTTGAAACCGAAGACAAGTCCAAAACCTCAAATTTCATCCAGAGTTAGTCTACTTTTGGTCTTGAATTGTAGTACTGTGAAATGTACTATTTATTTGAAATATATTTTAGCATATACAAAACTATTCAGGACATATCTGAAATATTGCGAAATAACAATTATCATAAAGTATCTTTTACAAGACGAAGAAAGGGACAAGTAAGCGAAGTATCTTTTTCTCACTGTTTTATTTGTATAAAGATTATAAAACTTCAAAATATGCTCAACACACGTTAAATGCTGCTCTTCTCGATGATTTAAATATATCTTCGGACGGACAACACGAGCGAACAGCCAGCTTTATAAAAATTTGATTTACAAAATAAAATAATTTAATTCACGTTATCCGCGAATAAAAAAAAAAAAAAAATCTCGTAATCTTACTTAACAAAAACTTAACGATACAATACGGTCGATGGCTGTACGCGCTCGTTTCATAACGAGTTATTTAATATTAATACATCTTATTGTTTTATTACAAAGCAGACTTTTTTTATGGACGGTATTAGTAATATTATATACGCTATTATATATCATTTGAAAATGTGCGACAATACTTTTGAAAATGTTTATCATTTTTTTTTTTTTTTTTACTATAGCAAAACAATTGTTTCATTTAATTAACACACACACGAGAAAGAAAATTATCGAATAGATGATCAATTAAGCAAAATGTCGCACATTTTCAAAACATCAACGATTAACATCTCTTCTTAAAAGACTTACAGTTAATGCATTACTTTGTCATAGTCATACTAAAAAATAGATCTTTGATATTCGAACAGGCAAATAACTATACAAAAGAATATAAAACTTTTTATAGAGGCAAAATACATTCGAACAATATATCTCGCATGTATTTTCATGCTTTTCCTTTTTTTTTTCTTTCACTCGGAGAAGTATACCGAGCATTTGCGTTAGAATGACATCAATATTCGTGTAGATCTTTCCTTCTAAGCCTACTATTTACACAAATTGACGCTTGTTCAGGGGGCATCGCGAAGGCACAATTTATGAGCGACGATTTGTCAAATCATAAGTACGGAATTAATGCGGAGTTCATTTAGAAAGTGGCACGTGAAAACAGAAAAGTTGCATAGAAAAAACGTATTTCTCGAACAGACATTAAAAGCAGGAGAGATGAAATGAGAAAGACAAAAATTCGAGCGTAGAATTGTAAAGAAAAAAAAAAAAGAAAAAAAAAAGTGAGATTCAACAAAATCTGAATTTTCAAAGTCGATTGAGAATAAGAAGAACAAGATTGATGAGCATAATTTCATGATAGAGGTTATTACTAAAGGATCTATAAAAATTTGTTTCTTTTTGGTGTGTCATACTTACAAAAAAACACGATCTCGACTAAGTATCATTTGTACTTGAAAATTCTTTGCCTCCTAGAACATATTGCTTTAACTATGGTTTTGAATTAAATTACCACGTAGAACGCAGAAAACACTTGAATAAATCGATATAAAACGTCAAATACTGTAAAGTTAAGAAATCTATAAAAATACGTGTTTTTATTAAAGTTTCTAGATTATATAAATATAAAATTGTCGATACGTCTTAACAAATGGACGGATTTTTTTTTCTTTTTCGTTAAAAGATAATGAAATGCTGCAAGATGATTACATTTAACTGCGAAAATTATTCTTCATCGCGTGTTACCTGCATTTTTAGATTTTGCACCAGACATGTTTTGTGGAGAAAATGACAGAGATATGTGGAAAGAAAATCGAGACAACACGGCGATACAAAGTAAAAAGTAAAACCGAGAATATTCACCTTTCTCTTTTCGTTCTTTTCTTTTTCTTTTGTTAAACTGTGTTGTATATGTGAAGATTAACCAGCACTAAGCTCCTGTGTTCGAAAGTATCTCGTCACGACAACTAGAACAGAAATCGCAAGCAGAAAACCTGTTGGCGTGGCTAACATCGTGGCAGTGTTATAAATCGGACAGTAAGGACACTGAGAGCTGCCGCAAACTTCGCAGATATTTAGCGTGTAAGTGGGCAGGGCATCGAATATAGTTTCGTTGAAACGTTCTGAAGACAAAAAGAAAAGAAAATTTTAAAAGAAACGATCACCTCTTGCAAAGTAATTGCTCAGTAATCACATCTAACTACGAGCATAATTACCTGGAGCATAGTAGTCGTAAACTCTAATGGGAAGATATCGCGACATGTTGGCAACCGGGAACCACCTCTCTATAGTGAAATTCACGCACGTTTCCTCCTGATCCAGGTAATCGAAGTAAAAGAGAACTTTCCTCTCCTGGAAACGTGCCCTCTGAAGGTTCCTTACCTGTTTCGACCGGATGTATCCGTCCAACGTCTGTTGTTGAATTATATAACCTGTTGGAATAGCCACGTCCAACACAGCCATTCCAGAACGGGAAGATTCATTCGTATTTATCCATCTGCAAGAGGAAAAAAAGCTGGCATAAACAATGAAAAAAACAAAAGAAAAGTTTTCAACATTCAAACACATCAGTGTTAATTACCTCTGGCAACTGAGGTACGATATGTGAGACTGATTTCTTCCATGAAAATTCGCTCTCGTCACCAAGTCGAAAGACTTGACAGGCGGTTGTGTTATGAATTTGGCAATGTCCACGTTGTACTGTACAGACATTTGCAAAATTGCGTAGCCAGCACCCTTTGCTTGTACCTTTACCGTTCCCCACGCTTCTGGTATCTACGATAGACAAGAAAAAACACAGAAATTAGCCAAGAAAAGAAAAGAAACGAAGAAATTAATTTTTCAGCTAAGACGCTACCTCTATGGTCTGCAGCCTCGCAAGGTTATTGTCATTGACAAACAGCGTTTTAGTTTGTCCTGGAAGAGCGGTGGCTTCCACGGTGACGGTCAACGAGCTGACATCTCGAATTCTGGACCTGACCGTGTAGTCCATCAACGCTTTCATCGCCCACGCGGTGTCTTGCGTCGAGGCCCAACCACCGTCCGTCAGCCTCTGCGCGTTCAGCCACTTCACTATGGGCTCTATCATTATCTCTTGTCGAGCAACATGAACCAAAAGAGCGTACGCGGTCGTCTCGATGTTCTCCGAGTCGTACATGTACGGTAAACGGGGAAGAAGGAACGGTTTCTGATTTTCCAGTTTGTAAGGGGGAAGAGGGACTTGCTCCCTGCCCCAGTAAGTCAGTCCTCCCTCTCTGCGGGCATGCCTGGACAAAATGTTGAAAGCTTGGCCTGCGGTGGAGGCTTTCGCCAACAGAAGAGCGTACGACACTATCGCTATCTCGTAGGGTTTTCCTCGCTCTTCCAACAACCTCAAATTCCTTTCCAACCACTTGACCGCGCCAACGGCGCTCACAGCGACTTGGGTTCCTAGACCCTCGGGCAGATCCTTCACGCTTTGCAACGTGATCAGCACGTGAGCCGTAAGACTGATATTCCTATGCAATATTATATCGTTGTCGTAGTTTAGAGAGCTGTTCATCTTGCGATCGGGCATCCACGTGACCTCGTAGAACGATCCCTCGGGCGTTTGATACTTCAGCAACCAGGACACAGCCTGGGCTATCACCTCGGGATCTATGTACAGATAATTCTCCCACTCGTAGAAACGTGCCTCTTGCAAGACACGAGCGCAATACGCTGTCAGCCAAACGCTCGGCGAGGACTGGTTCCAATCGCTGCGAAACAAGCTGAACGAACCGTCCGGGTTCATGAACGAGAGTTGCCTCTGATAGCCGATGTTCATGTAGTAGAAGCTCTCCCTCTCCTGCGTCCTGTTACGTTGATTGAGCAAACGCATGTACAGCGTCGTGTACAAGTTGGCGGCGAAGCTGAACATATTCTGCTCGGCGCAATCCATAGGAAGATTCATGAGGCTGGTGGAGTTGACAGGCATCGTCGGGAAAATCGGCCCGACAACGTCACCAACCAAACTTATCACAGCCTTGTTCGACCCGAACACGTAGTAACGATTCTCGTCGTAGGGTATGATCGGTGTCTCTGTTATGTTAACGTGCATGTACTGGAACACGTAGGCACGGTTACTGAGATCGAGCAGGATGGACTGATGTCTGTGTTGAGGAAGGCCGTCGGCTTCTACGCGCAGGGTACGCGTGACCGAGTCCCTTCCGATCACAGTGGTCGCGTAGATGTGTATTTTGATGTCACCGAGTCTTACTGGCACGATGGGCAGGTAGACGATGGAAGCATCCTGAGCAGGGATCCAAATGAAGAACTGGTGTTCGCCAAAAGACGTGCGAGGTTTGTACGACTGTACGATACCGTTGTCCTCGACGTGAACGAATTTATAGTCTCTGGATCCGGTTAGAACCACTACAGCCTCTATGTTGTGTCGCAGATAATTGAAGACGGAGACACGGATACCGATTTGCTCGCCTTGTTTGCTGTGAGTGGGCATCTCCACGTTGATGTAGAACGGCAGGATACCCATGTACGCGATGGCTTTTGGCAACATCCCAAAGCCCATACTCGGCGACATACTGAACACCGTGACCATCCACTGAACCGGTCTCCTCGGCACGTCTATGTTGAAAATGTATCTACCGTGAGGGCCAATGTTGATATCCTTCCACAGCCAAACGTTCTCGTACTGCCTCTGCAGCCTGTTGAACCGCCATTTCCTGAACAACGCGATGTCAGTAGCGTTCCTGTACTCGCAGGCTGCCTCGTCGGTGCCATCCTCACAGTCATACACCCCGTCGCATTTTTTCTCTATCCTGTAACACCTACCGGAGAGGCACTCCCTGTACCCTTGAGTGGCGTTGCAGTTGTCGGGCCTCCGATAAATAAAGGCATCTGTGAACACTACCAATCCAATGTACTCGAACGTTCTGTTCACGTCTATGCCAAATGTCGATGATGGGAAGTAAACGACCTCGTCTGGATCACCCTCGTGGAACAACCACGTGTGGGAATGGGTACCGTTCGTCTCCTCGTCGAAATGGGCCATTTTCGTTATAACGTTGGAGTATGTCAGCTCGTTTCCTGCCTGCATCGTGAAGAACGATCTGTCTATACCTGAGAGAGCGACGTACGCTCCCGGTTCACCGTAAATGGCCACCTCCACGTTCTCACCTGTCCTGGCTTTCTTGTTGTTTATGAACACGGTGAAATTGTTGCGCGAAATGCCATTGACGGAGAAGGTGAGAGAGTCAGCCACCACGTTGCCGTACTGTCCGACGTGATACACGACTGCAGTCGCAACGGGTGCCATCTCCGCGCTCAGAGGGACGGCGATCGTTTTTATATTGTGCTGCATGCTATCCTGCCCCGTCAGAAGTATCGTGCCTTTCGCCATGACGAGGTAGTTGAATGTGTCGATGTAGAAATTCGTCTGAACGTGGAATATCATGTACTCGCCGACTCGCGGCTTCTCCGTGGACGTCGAGATCTTTATGTGCTGCTGATTCGGCGACTCGTGCGCCAACAGTAGCAACTCGGTCTGCGTTCTGAATCCTTCGCCGTCGGTGAGATAAGCGAAAACTTTCATGGAGGTGATGTCGTTGAGAATCTGCTGCGCGTGATCCGAGTTGTGCTCGAGACCGAGCTGTTTCCTCAAGTCGATCCTGGTGGACCAGATAGCCTCGTTGTCGGCCGAATGTTTCAGATATTGCGTTTCTAGTATTCTACGGCCACCGGCTCTCATCTCGATGTCCGCGCGGATCTCCATCACGGCCCCCTTCAACTGCGTCGGCCTCAACGCCGAATTGTCGTGGAACGACGCCACCAAGTTCAAAACAAACGGCATCGTCGGCTTGAAAACCTGCGGCGACCCGCCCAGAAATCGTATCTTCGAGGTGGAGTTGAATATCCGGGCGGTGGAGTAGCCGGTGATTACTTCGTCTAAGAATCTTTCGCCGACTGTCGCGGTCACGGTGATCTCCATTCCACTGGCGGTGGGTACGAAGTTCAACAACTCTGACATCGGATATCGGAAATGATAGGACCCGTTGAAAAATCTCAGCACGGGTATCTTGTTCTCCAAATAGTTGGAAACTTTCAACCACGCGGGATAATACTCGTCGAAGTAAAAGTATCTCTCCACAGGTTCGGAGCCAGATTCCGTGTACGTTTTGTCCAGCGACTTGATGCGTGCTTTTAGAGTCAAGTTCCCCCTGACTGGAGCACCGCTGGTGTAATTCGCTTGGACTATGCCAGTTATGTATTGGTCATTATCGAAGAAAAAAGCTGGCATGGTAACGTTCACTTCGAAACGCGTTTGATAGTATTCCTCCACCAGGAACGTTTTCTCTTCTACCTGACCTTGCGCTATCACCTGTATAATCCATTCTCCGAAGACTGGTTGATCGGACAGCTGATACGACAGAGACACTGTTCCCAGGTTACTCTGTCTGCTTAACCATCGTCTCATTATTCTTCTGTACGGGTCCAACATGTACACGTCCACGGGATTGTTGAATGATTTGAGTTCGGTGTCGATCGGTATGTTTCTGAATCGTACGGTTTCTCCTTGCATGTACACAGGTTTGTCCAGTTGAATGAATATAGTCATTGATCGTTGCGAGAAGGTGAGCTTGGTCTCGTTTAAAAACGCTTGGCCACCGGTCAGGCTGTTGTACGTTCCCTCCACTCTTAATCTATACTCCCCGTTGACGGACGTAGGTGGCAATCTCATCATCAGAGTTTCCGGTATGCCCTCCTTCACTTCTTGAAAGTCCGCAGCTATCTCTACTCCATTCCTTTGAATGGACGAACGCACCATCATCGGCAGTGGGCTGTACAAGACATTCACGTCTAATCGGTAGATCTGTCCCGGTCTAACCATCCGAGATGCGACCACGAAGTAAGTACTACAAAAACAATGATACAAAATCACTTCAATATATCATTACATACTCAATTGTTAGTAATCTTGTATTACATTAAGTAAATTACTGATTTCAAAATGGCACATATTGAAAACTTACGCTTCTTTTATTATGACGTTGTCGGCTGAGTTTCCGGAACCTCGTAGCCCGAATCCGGTCTGATCTCTGTCGTCGAATCGATTCCAAGGAGTGCGCGTCGATTCGCTCGGCTCTTGCGGGAGCTGGCCGTTCCCGCAAGCAAAGGTTAACACCAGAATCCAGATCCACATTTTCTACAATATACGACAATTAAAATTGTGCACAACAATATTTACACCATTCCTGCGGAAGAATGGTGCTGAAGAAAGAAAAAACGTTGTGTGTTGTGCATCACGATCTAGCGGTCAACGCCCATGCAGCGGCCTATGATTTCTCAAATATGGGAGTTGAACACCGACTAGCACAAGCAGCAAGTGGCTGTGCGCCTAGCGTCAAAGTCCCAACGATCTCAATGTTAAGCAAGCAGAGTGCGGAACATCGCTAGGGATGGGTGGACCCGAGACCGTCCAACCTAGCGGGGATAGTTACAACAACACACAACAATTTCTGTTATTTACAATACACGACAATTAAAACTGTTGCACAACAATATTTACACCTTCATTTCTCCGGAAGAATGATGACGAAGAAACGTTGTGAGCTGTGCATCACGATCTAGCGGTCAACGCCCATGTAGTTAGCGGCCTATGATTTCTCAAATATGAGAGTCGAACATCGACTAGCACAAGCCGCAAGTGGCTGTGCGCCTAGCGGTCAGAGTCCCAGCAATCTCAATGTTAAACAAGGGAGAGAGAAGAACACCGCTAGGAGGATGGGTGGCCGTGTTCAACCTATAGTTAAAACAACAAGCGTCTGAGGTCGCTGCCATCACCCCCCCCCCCCCCCCCCCCCCCCCCCCGCCAGGCCTGCCGAACGATGTGTCCAGGCAGCGACTCTAAGACGGAAACGCTGAACCTTCACTTTTCTCACTTACCCAAATCCTTTCAACAGAATTTTCTATTTTTAGTACCACCGTTATTAATAGATGGCGCCACTGTTGCCTCTAATGTAGCGACCGCTACCTCCGCACAACACCAGATAGCGCCACGTACATCCGCAAGAACCTTCCGTCGAAAGGTGCGTTTCCGTTAAAGCAGCCAGCGACACCTTTTCCCGAGCAAAAATAAAAGCCCGGGAAAAACGGGGAAAAAAGGCGGGAAAAAAGTTTTCCCCCTTTTCGCAAGCCGAGGCTATAAAACCGGGTTGCGAAGAGGAAAAGCCCTTCTTCTTCTTTTTTTTCTTGGTTTCCGTGTGCTACCAGCAAGGCTCCGAATATATCCTCTACGTGTAAGTGCTGTGATAGAAAAACCAAAGTTTGTACAGTTCAAAGAAATATATATATCACAAGTATTTCTACCTTATCCACTACCTGTTCCTATACTAAACATTGACAGGTGACAGTTTTTCCACAAATTACGAGAATCATTTGTGAACTATTATGGTTACATCTTCGATTTCAGAGACCCTAAGCTTGCGTTTTGTTTTGTTTAAGTATAGTTTAGGTATATATCGAAAATGTTTCAATTTCGTTTACGTTAGCAGAAGTTCCAGTAGTAAGTGCATAATTTCGCGCAAACTATAGTGAATATTAGATTCAGATATATTTACAAACGTAACTGATAGCATTATCTTTGAAATATGTGCTCGTGGAGTGCAATAGCGTGAAAAATTAAAATTAATTATTTCCCTTATATGGTTGTAAAGCGTTTAGTTCCACCGGTCTGCCATAACGCGGCGCTAGTGTTTCATACCCCGTAAAACAAAGAAATTTTCATTTGCGAAAAAACCTCTTTTCATACCCCATTTGACCCGTAAAATACAGAAATAAGTATTTTTATAAATAATTAGTACCAATGAGTTACCGCCATGTCCATTTTGTGACAGTTCGCACTAATTACGAGAAAAACCTAATTAAGTGGAATAATTTGCGAACTTTTTTTATATGCCTCCTCAAAACTAGGCTCCCCGTTTTCTTTCTATGTGTGTTTTATCCTAGAAAAATGTGTGTGTAAAAAGTTGATTTTTTTTTTTCAATAGATCAGAGAATGCCCTTGTCGCACACTGTTGCTTTCCTTATCTAGCGTCATTAGACAAGGAGGGCACTATCATGCGACAAGGGCAGACATATCTGTGCGGTAGACAAGGAGAGCAACAGTGTGCGATAAGGAAAACAAGATAAATTAGTTCCGGCACCTATCCTAGGGATGATCCACACGATGTATGCTTAATTGCTACGCGATCCCGAAAACTCCAGCTTTTTTTCTCAGTGTTGAACTCGTTGCTTGCAACTTCGACAAAATCTCATGATTGGAAGGAGTGGTCACGTACATTCCTCTGTATTTGGTTCCGCACAGAAAAGTGACTTAGAGCCTTACGGCTCAAGTGGAGGTACCATTAACCCGACATTTATAGTAGTCGTTTGTGTACTATACGATTGAAACGTCACGAAACTTTTGCTCGATTGATGCACGCCGTTTGTTTTCTTAATATTTTTGTCATTTCACAGGATTGTCAATTTTTACAAAAAAATAATATATGGTTACTTTTGACCCGAGCAAATGTTACCAGGGCATCTAATATTGATACACGCTCTGTGTTTTGTGTCAACAATCATACCAGGTTCCTCTTCAACTGTCTCTTCGAATCCTTTTCGTCTCGCTTTGTCGATGTCAAATGCAACTTCCTCAACGTGTACCTGCGGTATTTTCGGCGGGTAGTTGGGAGGAATGACATTTAGGGGATACCCGTCTCTCCGCGATAATTCTTTACAGGCCAGTATTAAACCGACTATATTCACCGGCCTCGGAGGTGTGTCCAACTCACTCTCCTCGGGCACCTTGTCAGGTTGGCAGAACTTCGCACCCGCCTCGGCAGCTCTTCTCTCATCTTCGTCCAGATACGGCACTTTGGTGCATAAAAACTCATTGAAGGAGCCGGTGTTTTTGAATAACAATTTTTTGTTGGCGATCGAAAACGGATGGACAGTGTACGTTCCGAAACAGGTCATCCTAAAGAAGATGTGTATGTAACCGGTCGGTTTGTATTCCTCGTCTACGAGGCAAAAAGTATTTTTTATCTCATATGGCTTAGGCAGGTGAAATATATCGTTGCCCGGCATCATCACGTAGTCGCAGAGGCAACCTGGTATTGGAATTACAGCGTTCCCTAATGGGTCCTTTAACACTTCCTCGGGGCAGATAACAATTTCTTTGATTCTGTACACGTCCAGTAATAACGGTTTCGATCGCATTTTTTCTACGAGCTCGCCAGGGTTCCTTGTGAACAAGTATATTTTACCGGCGTTGAAGTTCACGGTGTGCAGGCCGTAGCCGCGTGCTATCTCCTTCGATCTGTCTGGCTTAGTTAAGAGGAAGGCACTTTGAAAGATTCGGAACAATGGCATGTCGTTAAATTGCAGATCAACGCCCAGTTCGTTCGGAGGGATCTTCTGCAACTTCTCGGCGTACAAAGTGACAGAATCGATGAAAACTTCTAGAATGTAGAATTGCTGTTCTTTTATAGAAACACAGGCTTTTAAATTCGCGTTCATGTTAGGTTTGTAAGGTTTTCCAAGAATATTCTTTTGTTTATGAAACGATGCGGAAGTCAGTTTGAGTTTACTTGAAATTTTGTATACGAAATCAGCCGAAACGGCTGTACATTAATCCACAAATGTTTCAGTTGAAGAAACGATAAAAACAATTGAAGTAAAAAGTAAAAAATTGATAATTCCATGCCGTATTCTTAAGATGAAACAGACTCGAGAGATATTAGATGTATGTATATTTAATTTCCACAAGATTAAAACAAGTACATTCAATTGTTATGTACAATTATAAACATCGCTATCGACGATTAATGTTCTATCGAACGTCACAATATTTCCTATTTATTTTTCTTTATCCATTGCTTTTTCAATTTCGCATTATACACATTTTAATATAAAAATATAACATAAATTCTGTACATTCCAATATTAAATTTCGATGTTTGCACATACGAAATGAAATATATTGTAAACGATATGAATCCGTGAAAAATTAATAATTGTACTGTGTATATATATATATATATTAAAATCTATATGTTATAAACTTTAATCAAGAAACAAAACATATTGACGTATTGAGATAAAATCGTAAGTATGAAAAATATAAATAATATTGTTTTTAATTATAGATAGAAAATTATGCTTTAAATTTTTTTCTAAGCGTTTGAGCAAATTATTTATTATTAATTTCATTTCCAAAAATGAAAGACATTCTTGGATTATACACATTTTTTTTATATAAAAGAAATTTATCTATCCTATATTATCTCTATTCGACCGTGATGGAGTAGAACTAAATATATTCTTTATATTCTCTTTCCAATCAGGCAAACAAAATTCACCATTAGTCATTAAAATTCGATCCTCCCAATAAGCTTTTTGCTTTACTGGAGTATTATAATTATCAACGTTCGTTGCACTGTTCATACTGTAAGTTTGATAACCAGTGTCTTGTGCAGAATTCGAAACGCTTTGTACATCAGAAATACCTAATATTGTGTTCATTTGCTGGAACATACAATATTCGTTCACATTCGCCTTGTATGAATTAGTCAAATGTTTAAATGTATCAGTAGCAGTATTATGTTTAATATTTGATTCTGAAGTTGTATTCTCAAAATTATGCTTAACGTGAGTTGAATTCTTTGCTAGAACTTTTATTTCTGTTTGGGTATCACCTTGAACCCACGTGCAATTGCTTTCTAGATTTAAGAAATTGTCTACTTTCTTATCTGCGTTTATTTTAATAGAGGATTCATCTGAAACATGTAATACATAGTTATTGCAAATAATAACATTATTTGCATAATATTTTAATGAAAATTATAATATGATTGCTCTAAAATTATTACCTAAGGAATGATTGTTTGATAATTCTTTATGTTGTATACTAAATTGATCTATGCTCATATCCATACTAAAATTCAATCGGGCAACTGAACGAGATTGAGATCTCATGCTTTCACACGACATCCTATTTATTGTACTGTGTATAGGGGATATAGTAGGAGGCGATAAATCCTCTGTGATTATTTTTGATGCATCGTGATGACAATTTTTGCTAGGCGAATACTAAAAAAAAAGAAATTTGAATTCAAATACTTCAGAATTTGTATAAAAGAGAACAATAAAGTTAATTTAAAGAGAAGTTTTTATTTACCTTCAATGGTGAACCATGAATTAACATTCCACTCTGTGGAGGACTGGAAGATAATATTACAGACTCATTTATGTTTACTGATGATGATGTAGAATCTTCATCATTATCTACATAATCTTCACAATTAAAAAACAACTTTCGTCTTAAGGAACTATTACTAGAATTCGCGTCGTCATTGTCGACATTTTGTTCCTAAAACCAAAGCAACAAAAGTGCAAAGTTGTAACGTCCAAAAGTAAAGTTAATATAATGATAATATTATTTACTTGAACGAATGTAAAGTAAGGTTTTAAAATTTCCATAACATGAGCTGGTAATTCGGATGGAAAAGTTAATACTGTTTGACTCCAACCTAAAGCAATATCAAAGTTAAAACATAGAAAATAGATTCCCAAATTATTTATAATACCATCTTTCTTCGATTTGGAAGATTCTGAATTCAGGTCACCAATGACCTTTGCACAAGTATCCACTTCTACTTTTGTTCTAATTTCCTTCTTCTTGATCTCCCAAGGACTTGGAATTATTTCATTTTCATTGAAGAATCTATCGATGGCTGCTTGAGCTTTTATTTCAGTCTCAGGATCTGTGCAATGTATTTGTTGCACAGGAAATTCTTCTATCTTTGCTGGCTGTATTAACGCCAACTCATCTACGCTCCATTCAAAATCTGGCGATTGTTGAGATTGTTCTGATACCTAAGGATATTATTAACAATTATTAGCATGACTGTTAAAACATAAGTTTCATTAAACTATTTTTTAAAGAGCCAAATTTTCAGTTTTAATAAACACTCTGAAAAATCACCTTACTGAAGACAGTTGGACTAATCACAGATAAATGTAGTCTATTAGTTAAATCAGTCTCAAACGGATTTCTTGCTATAAACTTTGTCAAACCTGATGGTGGTGTAATGTGATTTGGAAGCATTCTAAGTGAATTCATGTTACTTTGATTATATGCTCTATGCTTCGCATTTGTACAATATTGCTTTACAGGAGTTCTATATATCACAGGACTTCTGGTTAAAAAATGTTCACGTCCATTTCCATTTTTAATTGGTGTCCACTTTAGTTGCTCCATATTATTAACTGTAATCCTTCAATATATTCATTTATTTAATATTAACATCACATTTTATACATTTTTGTTAAAATGTAAAATGAAAGTATATATATATTTTTTCATTTTATTTTTGTAATACATAACAATAAGTTTTTCTTTGTAAAACATTCAAAAATTATTTACTTGCAAATAAACTTACTTATATTGCCACCGATCTTTCAGCTATTTTTTAATTATAAGAAAATACAAATTATACACAAATACTTCTTACGCGAACCTTCTTATCTAATTTTTACATTACTATCTAATTTTTACATATACTAGCACGATTCGTAAATTTGTTTACAAATTGAATTATTTTGAAACAACGATTATAATCACGTGACTCGGCCACATACAATGAATGTACGTACTAGAAGGTGATCAAAGTACTTTGAATCTCATCAGTTCGGTAGTTTAAGTTCTCTTTCCATGAACGTCATCAATGATCAGGATTCATTCGCAATCTTCAAATTTTCATATTTCTATGAGAACTTTATTAGCCTTTGTGTTATATTAGGTTTCTCTCGGTAGATGTGCACATATAAGAAAAATTTGAAAATTTTATTGTACATGAATGTTCTCGTTTGTACTTCGTATGAAACTGTCTTCTGTTAGAACCACTTAATTCTCTAAAATTGGTGAGGCAAACTTAGAAACCGTCACCTTAAAATGGTTTGTGTCATTTGATGTTTAAATGTTTCAATACAAATTATATAATAATAATAGTAATAATATTAGTGGTAATGTAATAATAATATATTAACATATTTTATTTCGTATTGTATTAACAACACGTATAATGAAATTAATTAATGCTTACAAAAAATTACACATAATGGGCAAACATAACCTAAAAATCTACTAATTTTGTCAAACTGACAAATGATCGGCTATAGTACTGAAAAGGTTCTGATTCTAATATGTAATTAGTAATGAATATGAAGTGATATAGTCGTCGATGTCAATGTTTGTCTTGTAAACTCTTAATAAGTCCCATACTACATGCTATACATTAATGTAATTTGCAATTAAATTGAGCATTAAATAAAAAGATTAAATGAGGAATAAATATATCATTGTAAAATAAATATTATTATTTTAAAAATATGTAAAGACAAAACTTTTTTTGTGTCATTTAACATGATTTTAAAAAACTGTGTACTATGTATTGTATTTCTGTCAAAAGTATTATATCATTTGTTGCGTATTTCTTTTTATATACTGTTTGTGATGTTTTAAAGAGTGGAGTAAAAATGGTTGCTGGTCCTACTGAACATGGTATACAAGCTGATGTAATATTTGTCATTGAGGGAACAGCTGTTAATGGAGCTTACCTTAATGACTTGAAAACAAATTATCTTACTCCTACCCTTGAGTAAGTATATTAATGTATTGTTGAATACTTTCTGTTTTTTTTTTTATAAATGTTTATTGATTTAAAACATTATATCGTGTAGGTATTTTAGTCAAGGTGGTATCGAAGATAAAGAGTATGTTTCTGAGGTAAAATAACATTAACTGCGTTTCATATTTTAGATTATTTCTTACTTTTTAAACATTTTCTTTTTATATTTAATAGAAAATTTTTTTTTTAGCAAAATAGCACAACATTATATGGGATAGTAGTGTATCATGCTGCTGATTGTTTACCAGCACCATGTACAGAGACTTTTGGGCCATACGCAAATCCTCATAAATTACTACTTGTACTAGAAAAATTAGAGTATGTACAAATTTTTTTTTTTAATTTTTCATTAACAAATAGATTTCCAAGCTCGTTGATAAACAATGGTAATGTTTCTGTTTAAATAGAATGGTTGGAGGAAAGGGGGAATGTTATGCAAATATTGGGGAGGGACTCGCAACTGGACTACAATGCTTTGAGGATCTACAACTACGTCGCGAACCAAATACAGCATCGCAAAAACATTGTATCTTGATTTGCAATTCTCCTCCATATCAGACAGTCATACAGGAATCATATAAATTTGCTGGACACACTATAGAACAGTTGGCTTCACTTTATCAAGAAGTAAATTGCAATTAATTACGTGGAGGAAGGTTACATTTAATGTCAGATAAAATAAATCTTTTTCTTTTCAGAGAAACATTAATCTCTCCATATTGTCACCTCGAAAAATACCTGCACTATTTAAACTATTTGAAAAAGCCGGAGGAGATCTGCAATCGTCACAGACCAAAAATTATGCTAAAGACCCGCGACATTTAGTCCTGTTACGTAATTATAATTTAAAAGAAAGACCTGTCAGTCCTACAATTGGTGGAGCTGTTCATACTACTCCAGGTACTGCTGCGCAGATTCCATTGAGTCCGTTGCAGAGCAACGACAGTCCGACTACCAATCAAGTGCAACAGAATATTGCACAACCAACTCAACCTCAAGGTCCTCCGTTTAGAATTCAAACTCCGCAAAATATTACTTCAGTTCATCAAACAGTAGTACCCATGGCCGCTACAATGAACGCTGGCCGACCTCCTTATAATCCCCAAATATCTGCTCCGCCAACTTATCATCCTCCAAGAGCAGGTCAACCTAGATGGCGGAATTTGCCACCATTTGTGCCAACAGGTCCAACAAATACACAAAGCAGTGCTTTAATAGCGCAATTGAACCAACCACCTCCTTCAATGGGGCTCAATGTACCTCCGTTTGGACAACGAATGGATGGTAAAAATATTCTTTTCTAATATTTTGTTAATTATTCTTATTTGGACAGTTAATATGTTAACGTGTATTTTATAGTAACAAATACCAATGTTATGGCTGCAAGTGCACAACAGCAGCAGCAGCAGCAACAACAGCAACAACAGCAGCAATTAACTCAACAACAACAATTAAGAATAACAATGCAATTGCAACAACAACAACAGCAACAGCAGCAACAACAAAATGTTCAGCAACCATCTTCAATGCCAATAACGGCTCAGCCAACGCACGGACAAGCTGGACCGCAACTTACGGTATCTTGCGTGAGTCAGTCTGTGCCTACACAAGTACCACAAACGGTTACTGCTTCTCAGACACAAGCATCTGTGTCATCGGTTACTCAACAACAGCAAATAATGCATCCTCAGACACAGGTATTTTATATTACTTCAGTTATAAAAAGAAAGTCGACATATTTATGACGAGATGAATAAAAGAAATACGAATCACATTAATGCGATTGTTAAAGGGTAATGTAACTGTTGGCACGGTAGGACCAGGACCGCAAATTAGCACGCCACGTGAAAGACAAACGATATGGCAGGGTATTATTGAGTGGGTTGAAAAAGCTAAAACAACTCCAGATGCACCAAAACAAACCAGACATCTTCCGTGTCAAGTTTCCGCAAATTCCAAAGATGGAGATCCAGAATTGTAAGTTTTTTTTTTTAATGTTAATAATCGCGAATTGTTATAAATTTAACGCGTTATAGGAAAGCGGATACGTGGCCACAGAAATTAATTATGCAGCTAATGCCCAAACAATTAATAGGAAATATCGGTGGTTCCTATTTAAAAAATTCTAAATCCGTTTTATTTCATCCAACACCCTGTGAAGCATTGGAATCGTTAACGAAAGTTATGAATTCAGGATTTGTTAGTATATTACACTATATATGCATAATATAATAAAATGAAAAAGACCTTTTTAATTATTGATAAAAACAAATATATATTTCAGGCGGGTTGTGTCCACTTTACTTTCTTGCAAGCAGCTTGTGACATAAAAATACTTATTCTTCTCTATACAGCTGAAAGAAGAACATACTTAGGATTCATTCCAAATGATCAAACTGGTTTTGTAGATCGACTTCGAAAAGTAATACAGCAACAAAAAACATCGCATGCTTCGATGAGGCAAGGACAAGTAAGTCAGAATTCATATTTTAAAGTGTTATTAATATTATAATTAAAAAGTGTTATTAAATGTCCTTATAATTAATATATCAAATGTAATCAATATGTCAGGCTGGAACTGCTCAAGGAAATGCCATAGCTGGTGCAATGCCCACTACAGGCACTTCTCAAGGAGGTATTCTTATGTCACAAACAAATCCTATAGCTATGGGAGGAGGCCAAATAACTCAAAATGTGGTCTCTACGAATGCTCCACAACAAACATTAACTTCATCCGCTGGCCCTCAGAATCAAATAGATATGCAGGTAAAATAAAGATACCATGAATATGAATAAAGTAGGTTTAAAATAATTAGCTTTATTTATAAATAATATTTAGAAGATTAGGAATTAGAAATAAATGCTATCTACATACATATACAGACATATTCAAATGATAAAAATGAAACATTTGTTTTATTAATATCCTGATAGAGTGGTATTACTGGTCCTCAAGTGGCTCCAGCTTCTGGTACGATGATAGGACAGCAAAGGCCACCATTTGATAACATAGAAATGGCCAGGCAACAAAATTTATTGAAAATTCAACAACTACGGCAAACGTTAGAAGCCGCACAGCAAAAGGAGGCGCAATATAAGTCGCAACTGGAAGTAAATGTAAGCTAAAAAAATATCACAATGAAATACCGAAAAAAGAAAAAAGAAAGAAACTAGAACACATACTAAACTTCACAGAATTCATATAATATAATTAACTTTATAGATTCAAGAGAATCTAGAAGTAGCACAGCAACAGGAAATGCAATTTAAACAACAGTTGGAGGTGAACTGTTTTTTAGAAGTTATCATACATTCTGTTGTATAGCTTTGCGCAGAAGGAGAAACGAAACAAACAAATAAAATTTGTTACAGGCTCAACAAGGCCAAAGAGCACTAAATCCTGCCGGTATGACGAATCAGCAAGCAAATGCTCCGAGGCCCTTGATGAGGCCCGTTCCGAACATTGGTCTTAGACATTTATTACAACAAGTATGGATTATATACATTGTAATAGTTATGAATTGAAGATTGAATAATATATGTATATTTAACTGAAAATATTTCGAATCTTATAGCCGCAACCACAATATAGGCAAGTAATTGGGTTACAGCAACAGATGGTTCCTAGGGGACAAATGACTACAAGGCCCATGGCTCCTGGTAATCCACAAAATCAACAATTCGAGGACGTCTCTAATTACGATTTCCTTGGATAGATAAAACGAATATCTTTTTTACAAAAATTTTTCTGTAAATAGAATTCTATATAGAATAAATTATACGTCAACATATACAAAGCATTTCAGTATTTTTTTTTTTTACTTGCAATAAAATGTTTATAATGTTTATGTATTTTTAAATACGCATATTGGAACAATTTATGAAATACATCTTTATAAGGAAAAAGAAGCTATTAAATAAACTAGAGTAAACGAAATTCGAAATATTTTTTTTATTACCTTTAAATCTTTGTTTCTACAAGAATTTCTATGAAAAAGTATGATATATTGACAAGTAAAGAAGCACGTGGAAAGAACAAGGTTATGCATCATTCCATTAATTTGAATGATTACATGATACACATGGAAAACCTGTTGCTTAAAACTTAAAAAAATAAGATATAAAAAAAATCTTATTTGCATATATTATATATAAACAAATAAAACGTTGTTAATAGTAAGTAATTTTATTTTCAGCTATTTTCAACAGTTTTTTAGTTTTATACAATTTAGCTTAATATCACATAATACTGTACAATTATTTTATTTGTATTTAACAGTAACATTTTTTTTTTATTTGTATTTTTGACAGTAAAATTATTTTACTTTGTTACTTTTGCTTTCAAGTATTTTTTTCTTATATGATAACAAATCTATTTTGTAAAATATGACGCAGATAGCGCAATAACAATTACTTTTGTTTAAAAATATTTAATGATATCTACATTTAATATCTATATTTCACAATCAAATTGAAATTAAAATTTTAAATTATTTTTAATAATAAAAAAATAATTTATAGTTGAAATAAAATATATAATTTCGATAGAAATAAGGAATATGTACTATGTTGAATACGATACCCTTTTGATCTCAACTCATATTCTTAGATATTATTATTATGATACAGGCATACTATTTTGCAATTACTACACTGATAGATAAAGATAATTTACTGACTCGCTTGTTACTTCACTCTAGGGGGTCTTAATAATTGTAATCAATCATCAATTCAGTACGTCATAGTATATCATCTTTCCTATTTTATACAGTGTATTTTATTATTCTATGATTTTCAGTTCTTAAATTATGAATATTATAAGGTTCTACAAAGTACCTGGTCTAAAATCAGGCCAGTTAAAAAGCAAGTTCAATAGTCTTATTCAAATAACAAATTTGATTAGTGGCTTAAAAACAGAATTGTGTTACTACATTGAAGTTAAAGAACCTTTAAGTGCAGAAGAATTAAAAGTATTAAAATGGATTTTAACTCCACCTTTAGAGCCACAAAGTTTGAAGAATTTTAGTGCATTCAATGAAAAATTAAGCAACTGCCTTGTTATTGAAATTGGACCAAGGTAAAATAAATGATAGAAAAATTAATAATTTCAGTTAAATAATGTGTATGTAAAATATGAATTTAAATGATTTTTATGTCGTTGCAGATTGAATTTTTCTACAGCATTTTGTAGCAATGCTGTATCAATTTGTAGATCCGTACATTTAAACAAAGTAACAAGAATTGAAGCAGTAATTAGATATTGCATTACACACAATGGATCAATTGATAAGGACATTGAAGATACTGTATGTAATTATAATAGTGTTTATTTAATATAAATTATGTACATCTCTTATATTTATTTCTTTATTCAGATAACAAATGTATTGCATGACAAGATGACTGAATGCAGATATATGAAACCAATAGAAACTTTTGATCATGGGTTTAGACCTGAAAACTGGTTTGAAGTTAATATTTTGGAAGAAGGAAGAACAGCATTAGAAGAAGTGAACTCTAAGTTAGGTACATATTTTGAACATAAAAATAGTATTCAACTTAAATATTATTTTGAATTCTTTTGAAATATTTCGTTTAGGTTTGGCATTTGATAGTTGGGACTTAGATTTCTACACAGATTTATTTCTCAACAAATTGAAGCGTAATCCGACTAGTGTTGAGTGTTTTGATTTAGCACAATCCAACAGTGAACATAGTCGTCACTGGTTTTTCAAAGGTCGAATGATCATCGATGGCGAAGAAATGAAACAATCTTTAATCGATATGATCGTAGAGACGCAAAATTATTCTAATCCAAATAATACAATTAAATTTAGTGATAATAGCAGTGCAATTAAGGGTTTTCATACAAAGGTTTTACGGCCGATGAAAACTCATGCATGCAGTTCTTTCCATTTGCAAGATGTAGATCATGATCTGATATTTACTGCAGAGACTCATAATTTTCCAACTGGGGTTGCTCCATTTAGGTAAATAATTTTGAAATATTTTGTAATGTTCTTTACTTTATTATTGCAATTTACAGTGGAGCTACAACTGGAACTGGCGGAAGACTGAGAGATATTCAAGGAATTGGTAGGGGAGGATATTACATTGCTGGGACAGCCGGTTATTCTGTTGGTAATTTGCATATCCCAGGTTTGTATTTTATACAGCTTATTTAATTCTATAAAAATAGAAAAATGTGTTAAATTGTCTCTGTTAAATTGTCAATCTCTTTCTTAGATTATGATTTACCATGGGAAGAGAAAGGTCTCCTAAATCCTAATAATATGGCTTCTCCATTAGAGATTATAATTGAGGCTAGTAATGGAGCATCTGATTATGGCAATAAGTTTGGAGAGCCAGTTATATCTGGTTTTGCTCGTTCATTTGGAATGACGGATCAAGTTGGTACGCGACGTGAATGGATTAAACCCATAATGTTTAGTGGAGGATTAGGTACTATGGATGCCGATATGTCTCAAAAAGTTTTGCCACAAAAAGGTGAGTGAGAATTAAGATTTAAATGATTTCTTTGTACAGTGACAAAAAATTTGAAAGTTTCTGTATCTCAGGTATGGAGGTGATTAAAATTGGTGGTCCTGTTTATAGAATAGGTGTAGGAGGTGGTTCAGCTAGTTCTATTGAGGTAAAAAAAAATAACACCGCATTTTCTCCATGGTTCAATAAGAAAACCTAAAAAAATTATCATTTCGTTAGGTGCAAGGTGATAACAAATCGGAATTGGATTTTGGAGCTGTGCAAAGAGGCGATCCTGAAATGGAACAAAAATTGAATAGAGTTGTACGCGCTTGCATTGAAATGGGACAACAGAATCCAATACTTAGTATACATGATCAAGGAGCTGGAGGCAATGGTAAAAGATATTTTCAAAAAATATAATTGTAGATAGCAATGTTATAATGTTAAATCATTGATTTCATTTGGAATTACTTTAGGCAACGTTTTGAAAGAATTAGTAGAACCCACGGGTGCGGTAATCTTCACAAAGAAATTTGAGCTAGGCGATCCAAGCATTAGTACATTGGAATTATGGGGTGCCGAATATCAAGAAAACGACGCAATTCTTTGCAAATCAGAGGACACTAATTTGCTTAAAGAAATAGCAGCGAGAGAGAAATGCCCTATTAGTTTCGTAGGGACTATCACAGGAAATGGGAAAATTATTCTCTCAGAAGAGGACGATTGTGATTCATCGAAATATTTAAATGAGAATTACAAGTTTAAAAAAAGGCATCCAGTTAACTTGGATTTAGAATTAGTGCTTGGAAAAATGCCTCAGAAGGTGAAAAAAATATAATCAAATTAATTAAATTTAATTAAGTTTAAACGATAACTATTTTATATCTTTATAGACTTTTAATCTTCAAAGACAAGTGACTCAATTACCTGCTATTAAACTACCAACAAATTTAACCGTACAAGCTGTTCTAGAAAGAGTCCTACGATTGCCTTCGGTAGCAAGCAAACGATATTTAACTAACAAAGTTGATCGTTGTGTTACTGGATTAATTGCACAACAGCAATGTGTTGGCCCTCTGCATACTCCCCTTGCTGATGTTGCTGTGACAGCAATTTCTCATTTCTCTACGGTAAAAGATATAAGAAGAAAAGACATAACAGGAATAAAAAATGTAGTAGATTTAATATTATACGTTTTATCCCAGGTTGGTATAGCAACTTCTATCGGAGAACAACCGATAAAAGGTCTCGTAAATCCAGCTGCTGGAGCTCGAATGACCGTAGCAGAAGCGTTGAGTAATTTAGTCTTTGCGTGCATTTCTGATATTCAGGTATTTATTTATGAATATTAATTTAATAAATGTTTATTCTTAGATTTTTTTATATATTTAGGACGTTAAATGCAGTGGAAATTGGATGTGGGCTGCTAAGTTACCTGGAGAAGGTGCAGCTTTATATGATGCATGTTTTGCTATGTGTTCAATTATGAATGAATTAGGAATTGCAATTGATGGGGGAAAAGATTCTCTTAGCATGGCTGCACGAATAGGAAAAAATATTGTTAAAGCGCCGGGTACGCTTGTGGTTTCATGCTATGCTCCTTGTCCCGATATCCGACAAGTAAGTTTATATTATTAATTTATATATTTAACATTATTTTCCATTATATTTCTATTGTAGGTGATAACACCTGATTTAAAAGCTCCTATAACTGGAAAAAGTGGTTACATACTATTTATAGATTTATCAAATAGAAAAAGTCGAGTTAGTGGTACAGCTTTGGCTCAAGTTTATAACTCCCTTGGAAATGACGTTCCTGATGTTGAATGCCCTAATATGTTGAAGAACGCTTTCAAAGCTATCCAACATTTAATTGCAGGTAATTTAACGTAGTTTATAAAATTTATTCTGTCATGAAAGAAATGACTAATGTTTGAAATATTTTTCATTACAACAGAGGGGCAAGTATTAGCAGGTCACGATATTAGCGATGGTGGACTCATTACGTGCCTACTTGAAATGTGTTTTGCTGGTATATCTGGAATAAACGTGAATATTTCTCACAAAACGGGATCCCCTATTGAAATATTATTTACTGAAGAAGTTGGATGGATACTAGAAATTGATCAAATGAATTACAATCACGTTTTGAATGTATTTAATCAGTTCAATGTTCCTGTATATCTAATTGGACGATCGGAAGGATTTGGGTTGTCATCAAAAGTATGTGTTGTATATATTGCATAAATTTACAAAATTACATTTATTTAAAAATTATATTTTATTAGATAAAAATTCATGTACAAGAGAAGGTTGTTCTGGATTCAACAGTGTTACCGCTAATGAATCTGTGGGAAGAAACAAGTTATCAGTTAGAACGTCGACAAACGAATTTTGAATGTGCAGTCGAAGAATTCAGTGGATTAAAAGATAGAACTGCACCATCTTATAAATTAACGTTTAATCCTGACGTTAGACCAACTGAGATTTATAAAAATTTGTTTTGTTAGTAGAAATTCGATGTGAATTTTGAAAATATTTTGTTGAATTAAATTTACATTTTTTATAATTTTTATAGCAAACATTGCAGTTGCTGTAATAAGAGAGGAAGGTATAAACGGCGATAGAGAAATGGTGGCATCTTTGATAGATGCTGGTTTCGAAGTTTGGGATGTTACAATGCAAGACTTGTTACAAAATAAAGTTACATTCGATAGATTTAGAGGAATAATATTTCCTGGTGGTTTCAGTTATGCAGGTAAATTATTAAATAAATCATCATCATGTTAGAAGACAAAAGAATGATACTTAATTTACATTTATTTCAGATGTTTTGGGTTCTGCTAAAGGATGGGCTGCTAGTCTTTTATTCCATTCATCTCTCCAAAAACAAATAAAAACATTTATTTCTCGAAAAGATACATTTAGTTTAGGAGTTTGCAATGGATGCCAATTAATGTCTTTGTTAGGATTAATAGGAGATAAAAATAGTACTGTTTTATTATAAAAAGAACTTAAAAAATTATTTAATAAAATCAGCGTTTTTAAGTGTTTTCTTGTGTTGCAGATAATACCAAAGAATTGGATGTTTTTCTAAACCATAATGTGTCGGAAAGATTTGAATGCCGCTGGAGTACTGTTAAAATTGATAAGTCATCATCGATCATGTTAAACGGAATGGAAAACAGTGTTTTAGGTGTATGGATCGCTCACGGCGAAGGACGATTTACATTTAGAAATAATAACGTTTTACAAAAACTGAAAGAAAATCATTGTTTGGCTATTAAGTATACTGATGATCATGGTAATCCAACTGAATGTTACCCACTTAATCCTAATGGAAGTACAGGTATTATTTGATTAAATATTTCTTTTAGATTATGTAACATGAAAAATATAAGACAAGATAGCGATTCATGTTGTGAGCTATATAACATCTGTAATTAATTGCAGAGGGTATTGCTGGTATTTGCTCGGTGGATGGACGACACTTAGCAATGATGCCACATCCTGAACGGTGTACAAGAATGTGGCAATGGCCTTGGACGCCCAACGATTGGAAATATACCATTTCACCGTGGCAACGCATTTTCGACAATGCATACACGTGGTGCGTAACGGAGGATTAGATCAATAATTTTTTGCATTAATGGAGTCAGTTTGTAAATAATATGATCATATATTTTTATATAAACTATATTAAATTGTATTAAAGATTATACAATTTTTTATTTCCTACTTTCTTAACAAAGTATGGTAACGTTCTCTTGTCAAGTGTTACAAGACAAAAAAGTATAATTAAAATTCATTAACACTTAGTTCGTATTATTTAAATGAGTTTTGCCTAACTTTGAACAGTTGATTTGAGGGCGTAAATTGCGAAAATTGATTCGTGGAGAAAATATCCTCTAATTGTAAGTCGCACCGTAATATCACAACTCCGGAAGGATTAACTTTAACTTTTATTTTTGTTTGTGGCGTTAGAATACCATAATTCACATCTTCATACAGATCCTAGAAATATAATTATTTTTAATATTTTAATGAAAATAGTTGAAGAAACATTTTTATTAAACTCGTAATTACATACCTCTACATTGTATCCTCCAGGATACTGTAAGCCAAGTTCTTTTAATGTAACAGATACATCAGACGGCGTACCATCCGTTCTTCTGTTCACGAATGCTATGGCGTAAGAATAATAATTTTGATAAACAGGAGTTATTGGCCTTGCCCAAATTTCTATACCTTTGTGCTGAAATTTTAGCGAAATTTAAGTATATTCAACATGTTTGTTATTTATACTCTAAATAAATTTACTAACTTTATAAATTCGACGACCCTGTATACCTAACGGGTCTTGATCTACAGCAATGATTTTTCTATTTTGTAAAATAGCTTTGTACTCAGGTCTGATTGTTCTTAAATCGACAGACATTAATAGAGGCGCTGCTAATATTGCCCATAACGCCATTTGTGTTTTGCTTTGCTCATAGCTTAGCCCAAAATTTCCAATAATCAACATATCGGGGTCATTCCAATGACCAGGACCAGCATTTGGTACGATTGCATCTTGATTGTTGCCATAATAATCTATGATGGTTTCTAAACTATTCCATGAATCTTGTATATCATCAAAGTTTCTCCATAAATTACAATGGTCTCTTATGGCAGTATAGTTTGGCTAAAATTTTTTGCAATTTAGGACTTTATAGTTTTCAGCATATAATTATATTATATAAATACCAACCTGCATGCCAGCATAAATTTGATAAACTGGCCAACTACAGGAATATATCATTGGTCGACCAGTTTGATTTAAATAGAATCCAAACTCAGGATATCCTATAATTTTTGATGAACTTTAAATGAAGAACTTTTTGAATAAACATGTAATTATTAAATTTTTTAATCGTACCTCTGTCCATCTCTGAAGGATGGGAGTAACATCCATCTAATTTTACATAGTCAACATCCCATGATGCAAAAGTAAGTGCATCAGTTTCTGAATAGCCTAATATTCCTGGATAACCAGCACATGTGTAGTTACCAAAATCTTGGTAAATTCCAAACTTAAGACCTTTCGAATGAATCTACATGGCAGAAGTACATAACAATAAGTATGTAATCTTTGTGGTAAAAAGTTATCAATAGTATGTGAAAACCTACATAATTTGCAAGACTTTTCATGCCATATGGGAATCTTTGTCTATCTGGTATTAGCTGGCCACTAACACTTCTGTCTTTTTCCAACCAGCAATCATCAATATTGATATATTCATATCCAACTTCTGCATAGCCTTCTGCTACAACAATGTCTGCCATTGTTCGAAAGAGCCGATCACTATAATGAATGAACATATATTCCTTATAAAATTAAACAGATTCATTTTTGTCGTAGTCTCTAACATGCAATTATTCATCTTTTAAAATATGCTTCACTTGTAATATTACTACTAAAACACCTTGGACTAGAATACAGATTTATATAATGGCTATGACACAGCTCTGACAATGAGTTAAATTATTAAGAATCATTCTTAAGGTCAGATATTAATGAATCACATTTAATATTCTGCAATTTTATTTTAATTGGTATCTTGTGAGAGAAAAGTTACGCTTCACACTTTTTTATATATTCATTTGCTATTTCTGAACATTTTTAATACATGATATTTATTTTGATTTTAAATATTTTACTATTATTCGTGATATTCAATGAACAGTTTAGCAATAAATATAAACATTTAATTGAAAACTTTTATATATATATTTACATATATATAACGAATAATATTTTATATTCAAAACAATAGAACAAAATAAAAAATTTCAGAGAAATTTCATAAAACACTTGTAAGTCATATTTTACATTCTTTCTTATTATCATGAACAGTTAAAATCTGTAGACATAAAGGTACATAACAAAGATGCTAATGAAGTTTCACTTTATGTTTAAGAATTATATTGTGCTATTGGATGTTACTCACACAGAGAGTAGGTAATACTTCGATGTACATAAATTAAAAAAGGTTTGCAAAATATCCCAAAAATACTTGCAAAAAGATGAAAGAGCAGCTACTCACCTAATACAATTGTCCGGATCATTTTTGCAGTCTGTGTTACATCTGAATCGTTCCCAGGCAAGCCAGCCCATAGGTGGTGTTCTTGCCAGGCCATTTTCAAGGGACAATGTCAAATCTGCCACTGACACAACTAAACACCATGTCCATATTATCTGCAACATTCTGCAAAAACTCACACGTTTCTTTCTAACCGTTTGAAAAAGACTTTCCACCCAATTTTTTGTAAAACACCGAACACTAAATTATCTTTGACTTTATGATCCTGGTAGCATAATGCGTAAAATATGGAATGATTTAAGAAAAGGGGGAAACTCCGTCGGAGTCTGAGCAGCAAAAAGATCTGATCATTAGGAACCAAGCGGCATCGCCATCCACATCCTGCACGGCTGTTGGCAGACTGATCTGATATAAGACCTCCAAGCCAAGAGTACTTTCACCCAATGCCCCATTTCATTTTCACACACAATCACCATCCTGCTTCGGTAGTGTGAATATTGATTTCCTTTCGTACACATTATGAGATAGACTCGCACACTAACGCATCTGAATCGCCGTTGTAACTATTACGATACAATTACGCCCAGCAGAGACAATCGTCGTACCTGTCTATTTTATTCTGCGAATCTCCTTTGTCTTTGACTACTTCCAATGATCGTATCAGATATACTCTTATATAGGTCCGATGGAGATGAGCGATTATACAGTGAAGCCGCTTTATTATTAGGCTTTTTTTAAATCTTTAATACGTGGATCTATATAACGAAATTGTGTATTACATTGTTACAAATGCATACAAAATTATCAAATCATATAGTATACTGCAATAACACATCACTCGATTAAGCTATTAGGTCACAATCCCTCGAAACGCATATTTTATAAGTTCTTCTTAACTTAAAGATATTATGAATTTCGTGTGTCTTCAAGTTTACGAATTATCTTCACGTCGAATTGAAAGTACGTATATATTTCGGGATGTGAATTGAAAAACCGTCTATTCGAAAGAAATGACAAGTAAAGAAGAAAACGATTGTCACGTAATAGTCTGATGATTAAACGGATGAATGCATACGGCTATTAACGTAATTTACGTAAATTACGTTAATTTCGAAAAGGCTGGACGTTCATTTGAGAATTACAGAGAGCGGTTTACGAGACTGGAAATGTTTGTACACAAGCCGCATACACGACTATAAACTTGACATTTCAATGACTGAAGGGGATAACGAAACACGTCGAGCGGGTTCCAATGCGTAGCTTCAAGAATCGAATTGTGTTATTTGTCTAGAAAATGTATGGAAAAGTTGCAAAAACATACAAAAGCGAATTGTAAAAATACTATAAAGCACTGTTGCTTACTTTGTATCTGTTAAAGAACAATACTATAATTTCTTTTATTTGTATTTTAATTACCTTGCGAAATGGTCCCTTTACAAAAGCAAAAGTTTGAAAAGAAAATCTCGTTGTTCGAAGCTTGATTCTTGATCTCTACCGGGCTTGCGTAACTGGCAAGCACATTAAATACTTTCCACACTTTCATTTTGATTATCTAATTGAGTAGAAAAATCGATAAAATACTAAAATGAGTATCTTATCGACTGATGATATCGCAACGATATTGCGGTTTTGATTAGAAAAAAAAAACCAGACAAATAAATCGATCAAATTTTTGATACGTTTATCGTATCTTCGAAACGCACAGTATCATTGCACTTGATATCTAAAAAGAACTTTAGAGTTTAATGTTTAAAGTTTTTCGATGACTTACCTGTTATAGACTAATTCGGCACAAAACATGTTTTCGAGACGTCGTGTGCAATTTATATAAGTACTTGGAAATTTGTATACACAAGAGAAATGCGCTAGAGCTGTTTCACTATCGTATAATGTTCCATAGATAACAAATTTTTCTATCGTTCTGTTTTTCATGATAACGATGGTGCAGATAATATTGGAATTTACTGTTTCATTCGCACAAGCTTTTTAACTATATCTCGAGAGGCTGATGGATCTCTGCAAATACTTTCCCAGATTAATGTGTAATTTCGAACAGTGATTTTGTAAGATATACACATTTTCAGATTTGTCTTAAATTTTTCCAACATAATGATCAGTGGCTTGTTACAGCATTAATGAAATTTCTATGCACGATAGTTTCCTATAGTAAATATTTAAATATTTTCATTCAATACAGCGTACTTAATACTTCCAATCGCAAATGAATAAAAATGAAATTTCGCTGAAACGAAATCACAGAACACTGTGAAATAATTACAAAAAAAAAAAAATTGTGAATTATATTGTAAGTTTATATTTATATGTAATAACATTTTTATTAGGGTTGAGGGTGGCGCCACGATGCGTCACATCATCAAGTCGTTCGCTGCCTGTCTCGCTCGCGCTGCGCCTCTCTTTGTTTAACCTCTTCCCTGTTCCCGTTCGGTCGTTCCCAACCCCCAACAATCCCGCAGCCATCGTCCAACGCGGGGCTGCTGGAGGGACAGTCGGTTCTACCTTGCAAACGAAAACGTGCTCGCCACACGTCCGCCCGTGCGATATTCTTCTTTCGCGCCGCGTGTCGATCAAAACCGTTCATCAACGGGGTACAACGGGGTTGATCCTGCCGATAGAGAATGTCATGTGAGTAACACTTAGTCGCGCGTTTCCTACGTGTTATGGCGTGGAAGTGGTGGCCAACCATTGCAGTGGCATCGTTTTCGTCCGACGACACCGGGATTTATCGCCGCATTGACAGCCAACCGTGTTAAGTCTCCGTGGGAACATGAAGATACCACCCATGTCATGACCCAGGTACGTAAACGTCCTTTGATTTCTCATCCTTCGTTCTGCGTGTTCTACCTATACCCCCTCAGATTTTGTAACTGGAGTTGTATTCTATTTTATTATACGCTCTTTCTTTTCACGATTTGACGCGACGTTGCGATCACGTCAGATCAGTTTGCAAACGTTCCGATCTGTCAGATCAACGTTGAATACTTTCTTGCTGCTTGGCGGATATTACAGTTGACAGATTTCGGACGTCACGTTGACGGATTTAATGTTCTAAAAGAGACGTCTCGTTTAATTCGTATGTTATTGAGAATTGATGGTATTTCAGATTAGATCGAATCAACGAACGTTTTGACGGTTAGGTATTATAAATATACATGGTAGAGGCAGGATGCATCTGCAATCTGTTGGTGCATCACAGGGGGCATCTAGGAAATTTTTCACGAGATCAATGACTCGGTGATGGTGTGCCCGTATCGTGTGATTCTCGTTGGGGATTCGGACGGTGGTCGAGGGCTTGAGGTTATGCGCTATCGCGAAGTGATTGGGCGTTCTTTTGAATGGTAGATTTCGGTGCCATTGACGCGCAAGGAACTCGGACAAATCGCATGAATGGGTAATGGCGGCATCCCGAGACAATAATTTTAGGTAGTGACATACATATAGCGCTGCGATCGTTCCATTGATCTGTGTTGCATCGAAGTCCACATTTCCTGACTTTCAAAAAAAAAAAACGCTTCTGAAAAATTTTCATTTCGCTTTATATACACTCTGTGTGTTCGACTCAATTCAAATAAAATAAAAATCTTTTTATTTACGATCGTAAAATGCCAGTACTACACCCATGTACGCCGAAATAAAATAAATAAAATAAAATATGTAACAAAATAGTTAATGTTTCCTGCTATTTTCGACTCTCACAGTCGTTCACATTTTCAATCGTTTCGAAAGTTTGAAGAAATTACGAAAGAACATTTCGCTTTGATGTAATATTTAAAATGTTTTTTTGGAGATCGTAAGCTGGTTTAGCTGATTTGTCAGCCAGTTTGTCAACCGCCTCAAAGTTGGTCGCGTTTGCTCGCAGTCATGAGCATCCACCTTGAATTACTTTTTATTATAGCGCCGCGCGCGTGTGGTATACGTAGCACATGTATGACGTATGCTTTTATCGTGGTACGTAATTTCTGTGTACTACGCGAATCACGTAAATTATTCAGAAATAAAATATGGACGCGTCTCGTTGATATCGACGAAAATAAAAGCGGATCGCTCCTGATGTGAATCGAAGAATGTCTGTTTTGCGCAAGAGAATTTATATATGAAATGGAATTCTTGGTATCTACATATACATTAACAATCCGTTTAACTCGTGGAATATTCATCGAGAGGTTCACCGTGAGAATTCTTTACCGATTCGGTTCTCTTGTATTCCTTTTCCCATGGACAGTGTTTATTTGTCCCCGTTTCGAAGTTTTATTAATACGATACGTGTCGAAAATTTTCATCGGCATTTATGGTAAATTGATAACTGGCCAAAAGAAATGGCGCGATGACGTTCTTCGTTCGTAGCCCATTTTGGCTCACTATTTACCATATTTTATCTAGGACGGCGCGGGTAAATCGATACGCGCTACTTTCATTCATGGCTGCTTCCCCTCGCACGCCTAGCACGTTGCCTCTGCGTACCACCACTGACGAACAACCCCCTACAACCCTTTATCCCCACCATCGGCATCACCACCACTATTCTGTCCATTAGTGGCTATCTCTGTCGCAGTGATTCTCAAATTCCATCCTCGATATTATCTTCGATCTCACGAAGTCGAATCTCCTAAGGATTTTAACTAATTTTGAAAATTTTCAGCGTCTGGCAGTTGAAATGCGAAGATTTGAAAAACCAAATAATTTTGATATTATTTCGTTGTTAGTTAAAAAATTTTATCTTTACGAACCCAGCGTTTTGTACGAAAAAAACTTTCAGTTTTTCTCTATCGCGTTAAGATTTCTAGGAGCACCATTTTCTTAATTCGAAAATTCGAAATTTCAAAGATTTAGAAATTCGGGGGGAGCTACGAAAATTTGTCAACTTGAAAATTTAACAGTTATTAATTTCTTCTTAAGCCCATTGAAATTAAAATCCTCCAGCTACGAGTGCCTTTGATGTTACTCGAATGTATTCACAGAATCAAACGGAACGATCGAGATTATAGACTACATTTGCAGATTCTATTTGCATACTAGGTTAAGAAGGGCTTCTGTTAGTCCGCGTTCAATATCGTACAAGAATTATCTTTCGGTAGGAAATATGCTTTCTTTCCATCGTTTCTCTTTTCTTCTCTTTTTTCTTCTTTACATTTATCGCTCGTCCGAACGATAATACGTAACAGGTAGCTTTCAATTGGAAAGCTAGCATTCAAGCGTTAGCTTTCAATTGAAACGAAGCACAGGGAAATAAGAGGCACTTGCAATGCTACTTGAATAATCCGATGCGTCTTCCTCGCGAATTAGATTAAATCAGACGGATGGATTCCAAGTATCTCGAGTGCGCTCGTTAATCCCTGACTCGATGTTCCGACGTTCAAGTAAACTAGTTTAAAGTCGTTTAAAAATAAATCGGATTACAGGTCATTCTTAATGATTAATATTCAATAATATCAATTTATAAATTATGGAATTATTAAATTCAATCAAACGCTTCACATTTATCCACGTAAATAATCTCGCCTTTCGGTAGTGTGAACGCGTAATTTCAGGCGAGACAGTTCAACGTGACTCGCAGAGAAATTTTCATTTCGTTTGAAATTAGTAAACTGATAGGCCCCTCTGAATTTTCACGGTAATGACGAACAATTGAAAAGCGAACGAAAGGAATCGGCAAAGTGAGAAGAAGTAAGTTGAGAATCGGCGTTCTGCCACCACGTTGATATTACTACCACGTTCACCAGCTCCGGGACCATCCTCGTTGGCGCATGGTTCCAAGAACCTCCAGCACCACCTCCACCACCGTCTCTACTGCTACCAACCACTTTACTTACGACGATGGATATGACACTCTCGCGATCTTAAATTTTGATTTTCGAATCATTTTCAGAGGTTCTTCAATATAAATATATAGCGTATTTTTACAACGTACCAGATCGTCATTGACACGTTAAAACGTAAAATATCATTAAATTTCCAAAGACGAATTTATAAAGTAAGAGAGGATCTTACGCGAACGATCAACTATATTTGCTCAATCCACTTGCTAATTCATTCTTCTCGACATCATTTCGAAATGATTAAAATGTATCTGCCCATCTATTCTATCAAATGCTAACACGTGCTATTCCGAGGAGTAATAACAAATAGATAGGTGAAAAAGATATGAAGAGATTCATTCCCATTTGAATTGAACTTAATCTCTCGGGAGAAATACATATGCATTTGCCTTTTTGCTTGAGCCAAGCTACACACATACATATGCAACGTTTCTCTCACAATTCATTTTTCGCAATGTTTACAATTTTTACAATAGTTACAACATGCTAATTACATAATTTATAATATTTACAATAGTTACAACATGCTAATTACATAATTTATAATATTTACAATATAGTAATTATATAATTTACAATATTTACAATATAATAATTATATAATTTACAATATTTACAATATGTTTCTGCAATATTTACAAATATATTTTGTTCAATTTTGTTAATATTCTCATTGAAAAATTTGGCGGTAAACTTGACAGATTTTGGGGCTTTGAAACACGTGCTATCGTAATATATGAACAAACAAAATAATTTCCCCGAAAAAAATGTTAATATACTAAATAATATATTTATTAACTGAAATATATACTAATATATTTATTAACTAAATAATTATTTTTAATTTAAATAAATTTTTCTCAATAAATAAAAGAATTAATTTAGAAAAAAAAAATTCCACTTGAATGTGGATTTAATCCAATTTCAAAAATTCATATTACCACTTTCAATACCTTCTTTTTCAAATTGGATTATTATTTTTAACTTTTGATATTGTGAAGTCACTTTATTAGCTCTTGTAATTTTGTATTTAAAATATATACATTTTTTTTATATGCTAAATATAATTTTATTATTTATATTTATAATATTATTAACGTTAATTACAGAATGAACAATAGGATATTTATGTTGAATATTTTAAGGGGAAGATTGACACGATCCACCCCTCCCAGGAAGTTGACTCGAAGCCATCACTAGTCACGGTACACCATATCGCGTAGCGGGGCTATCCCCACTATTCGGTATCGTCATCACGTCACTGCTGACGCCCCTTTACACCCTCACAGCCGAGGGTATTATCTGTAACGTGTTCCGCCCACTCTCTACCCTTCGTTCACCCTTGCCCTGACCCTTCCTCATCTCTATTTCCTCGTCATCGGATTACCACCCTCTTACTCCACCCTCCACCCTCCCTCTCTCTCTCTCTCTCTCTCTCTCTCTCTCTTTCTCTCTCTCACCATGTTATCTATCCCTCTCTCTGGCTCTCTTATACACGCGATTCACCAACGCTCTCTGTCTTTCTATTTTTAGAACAGTCCGCACGGAATAATAAACAGCCCCATAACCACCTTTGTTCTTCGTGGTTGCACGGGGGAGGGGGAGGGGGGTGTAGAGTTGAAAACTTTGATTTTTACAATGAAGCACAGCAAGTCGGATTATGTGCGTGGGTGTGCCTGGAAGATTATAATTGAATTTGTTCGCGAGTGACTTTCATGATTTTGCTGAAAATCACGTAACGTTACAGCAGCGTTAACTGATCGCATGTGACGTTGTTGTAACCAGTCGTTGAGAATAACATGACGTCACAGTAACGTCAGCAATTGCTAAATCACAGCGGCGTTACAGCCACGTCGCTGAAAATTACATGACACCGTGGCAACGTCGCCGATCATTAAACTACTGAAAATCGCATGACGTCCGCGGTTAACGTCACGCGGTCGTTATAGCGTTGAGGACACGAGGGGTGGAAGGAAATGA